TTGTTAATGTTAATAATATGTTAGTGAAGGACTGCATTAACAAAGGTTTTATACAATTAGTTTATTCGCATGTGTTTGAGACCATTTTGCAATTCTCTTATGGTTAATATGACACCCTACAACAACGGAAGGCCGTGTTAGCAGAACTTGAAGCACTAGAGGAGGAGGAGCAATACTGGTAGCATAGGTCGCGAACGGATTGTCTAAGAGAAGGCGATAAGAACACAACGTTCTTTCACAAGAAGGGGTCGGCCCGAAGGAAGCGGAATACTATTCGGAAGCATAGAGACCACACCGGCGATGGTTTGTTGGGACTGAACTTGTGAAAGTCTATCTAACGCAGTACTATGGTGATATTTTTACTATAGGACCCGAGCTAGAGGCATTAACAATTCTTGATTCGATTCTGACTACAATTGGAGAGGAAGAGAACATGGAGTTGTTGAGACCAGTGACGCATGATGAAGCTTGGTTCGCTTTACAGGGTCGCGCAAGGCACCTAGAGCGGATGGTTTTTCACCACATTTTTTCAAGAAATATTGGGAGGTGGTGGAGGATGATGTGGTGGCTACAGTGCGGCGGATCATTAAGGAAGGAAGAATACCTGCCGGAATCAACCATAGAATTATTGTGCTAATATCGAAAGTGAAGTCTTCGGCTTTGCCCACAGAGTTTAGGCCGATCAGCTTATGCAATGTAGTGTACAAATTGGCATCAAAGGTGATGGCGAATAGGTTGAAGAGCCTACTGACAAAATTATCTCTCCGACACAAAGTGCCTTCGTTCCGGGGAGATTCATTACGGATAATGTGATCGCTGCATTTGAGTGTTTTCATACCATGAAGAAAAGGAAGAAGGGAAAGGCGGACTTTATGGCAGCAAAAATCGACATTGCAAAAGTATATGACCGGGTATAGTGGCACTTCTTAGAGGGAGTAATGAGGAGGATGGGATTTTTTGAACAATGGATAAGCCGGATTATGATGTGTGTTTGTTCTGTTACTTATTCCATCTCAGTAAACGGGCACCGTTCTAATTACATAGTTCCGAGACGTGGACTCGGGCAAGGTGATCCACTCTCGCCCTATTTATTCCTGTTATGTGCAGAGGGACTATCCGCGTATACTGATTTGGCCATCAGAGACCATCGATTACATGGATTACAGTCTGCAGCGGGGGGCACCAGTGATTTCCCACCTATTTTTTTGTTGTTGCAAATGATAACATCTTTTTCACTAGAGCAACACAACAGGAAAGCCTCACTCTAAAGGAGATACTTGCGGCATATGAGAAGGAATCTAGACAAATGGTTAGCCTATCCAAGTCCGAAGTGTCATTCAACATTAATGTGTCACACCATAACAAGTTACTGGTGAGTGGTATGCTTGGTATGCCCATTGTCCCGAAGCATGAAAAATATCTGGGGTTGGTAACAACAGCTGGGCACTCAGAGAAGGAAATGTTCACGAGAATAGTTGATCGGATCAGGAAGAAGCTGAAAGGGTGGAAAGAGCGAGTGATGTCGGTGGGGGCTAGGGAGGTCTTGATTAAATCGGTAGCCCAGGCGCAATTTTCATACTTTATGTCAGGTTTTAAAGTGTCGGATGGGGTCATAGATGAAGTTCACAAAATGATTATAGCTTTTTGGTGGGGACAATAGGGGGTGGAACGCAAGGTGAGTTGGGTGAAGAGGGAGGAGCTGATTATGCCAAAGATGGAGGGTGGAAGGGGTTTTATAGATTTATGGGGCTTCAACCAAACGTTAGTGGCAACTATACCAGAGACCATCATCCCTCATTGCACAGATCCTTCGATCAAAGTATCATAAACGGTCGATAATTTTGGAGGCTAATATTGGATATGATTCAAGCTTTGTTTGGAAGAGTCTGATGTCATTGCAAGATTTCCTTCATAAGGGGGCTAAGATGGCGACTAGGGAATGGAGATTCGGTCAATATTTGGCGGGATAGATAGATTCCCAACCGGGAGGGAGCCTACATAACATCTGTCCCACGAGGACTCCCAGTGGAGGCCCGGGTTAGGGAGCTGATCGATCCGATCACGGATCAGTGGCATGATAACTTACTTGAGAGTTGCTTCCCAACTGAGATTGCCCAGTCAATCAGACAGATCCCGTTGCGTGGAGCTGAGGAGAAAGACATACTGATATGGGACGCGGGTAGGGATGGGAAGTATTTGGTTAAAGGGGCTATATATTATGGTTGAATGAGTTTAGGCAGGAGCATGATATTTTACATCATGGTGAGGAAGATGTGTGGAAGAAACTATGGGATATGAAAGTAGCACAAAAAATAAAACACTTCCTATGGAGATTTGTACGAGAGGTGTTGCCAATCGGAGATCATATTAGCGAGAAGAGTCAGCGACGTAGTGACAAGTGTCCGTTTTGCGATCTACGAGAAACACAATTCCATATCTTTGGAGATTTTCAGTGGTCGTCCTGCATTTGGAAGGCTTCCGAGCTAGTTGACTGTTTCGACTACAAGCCAGCTGAGAATTGTTTCTAGTGGTTGAGGGAGGTGTTTGACTTTGGGGACGATGAGAAGTTGGAAGGGTGGGGGAGTTCTCTTATGGTTCCTATGGAAAGAGAGGAACACCCACCTTTTTAACGGACGAGAGAAATACTACTTGGCGGACTACAAGATTCATTAGCGAAATAAGGAGGCACCAATTCATCTACCCGTGGCTGCGATGTGGAAAGCCCCTGGACTAGGGAAGTTCAAGGTTAATACGAATGCATGCTTTGTGGAGGATGGACATGTGGTTTTGGGGACGGCGATACGAGGTGAGAATGGAAGATTTTTACTTGCAGCGGTGAAGAAGGTGGTAGGGTGCTTTGATGTCGAAATGGGGGAGGCTCTAGCTGCTGAATTTGGTTTACAGATGGCTCTCCAATTTCAAGTCATGAACCCCATCCTTGAGTCTGATTGCCTGACTTTAATAAATTGGCTTCAGCAAGCGAACATAGGTGAGTATGGTGGGAAGAAATATTCGGCGCCTGTTGGTGGAAATGTGAATGGAACTTGGAATCATGTGAGACGTATTGCGAATGAAGCTGCACACCTGATGTGTTTTTAATTGATCAGTTACAACACGATAATGTTTGGCTCGATCGGCCTCTTGTGTTTTTTTATTGATCAGTTACAACACGATAATGTAACGGCTTCGACTGATTAATAAAGTTTCAACAGGTTTTCCGTAAAAAAAAAACACATCAACCTCAACATTGAAATAATGTAAAGTCTACATTTACAAATTTTTGAAAACTCAAATAATTCAAATCGACATATTTTGGAGAAGAACTCGAATACAATTCGGAGAATCATAGCTTCGCAAATTAGGGGTGGGCAACGGGACGGGGACTGGGTACCTGTCCCGTTTGAAACGGGTACTCAATCCCATTTGAAGTAGAAATTTCATCCCATGTCCCAAACCCGTACGGCTTAACGGCTACCCATTACCCGTACGGGACGGATAACGGGTACCCGCGGGTAACCCGTAATTCTCTTCCTCTTCCCCGATCTCAAACAAATAATTTGTCAGCCATTTTTCTAGAGTAGAGCAGTAAGAAGAACTGAAAACCTGTGCGGATTCAATGATCCGTAGCCTCCATTAATTTCCACTCCCTAGCTGGTTATCCACAAGATTGCTGCTCGGTTCATAGTTCCGACAAATTAGAGTTAAGCTGATTATACCAATTAAGACTTCTTTGTGTCTTCTGTTTTATCTAATAAATTTAAAATGTATTTTTCTGAGATAAAAAAAATGGTCCATGGGAACGTGAAATTAGATGCCTCCCACAATTTTAATAAGTTTTCATATTTGAAGGGAAACACTTGGATTCATCAAGACAGCCGCGACTGATTTGAATGGCTAGCACTACTTGCCTTAGAATAGATATTCAATATTTTTTGTGAGATTGATTGTTATTGAAACTAATACTGGGTAACGAATTGTGGCAGCTCATATGTATTTTCTTACTTGGGCGGGTAGTACGGGTACCCATTATAGAATACATTGATCCCACGTCCCATCCCACTAAAAAAATGACGAGTATTTGAATACCCATCATCCTAAAAAAAGGACGGGTATGAGTATGGGTATACTCAAATACACGTTGTCCACCCCTACCGCAAATCACTGAATCCTTGGGCCCACGGAAGTCAAAACCGACGTGACCACCAGCAAAACTAGGGCTGGCTATTTGGACCGGGACCGGATGAAAAACCGAAAACCGGACCATATAACCCGGACCGAGACCGGACCGGGACCGGATAGTAAACAATCCAATCCAATCTTTGGGCTTAGATTTGAGGTAAAAAACCGGATAAAGACCGGATAAGAGAGCTTAACACCCAAAACTTAAGGGTAATTTGCATAAACGGTCACAAACCTTTGCACTTAGTACAAAACTTAACCAACTCCTCACCCTTTTAGGCTTAGGCCACTCAAATTCCCACAATCTCAATATAAAATCAAGACCGAATTGGGACCGGAACGGGTCAAGACCGGACCGGATCAAGACCGGATTGTATCCAATCCAATCTTTGGTCCTTATATTTTCAAAAAATCGGACTGGACCGGATCAATTTGGGCCAATTTAACCGGACCGGACCATATAGCCACCCCTAAGCAAAACCCCTCAATCTTGACTTCATACAAATTCACAAACAAAGCTCTGACCAAAACGACCCGACCTGAGTACCTGACCCAACCCAACCATCCGCGCGCGTCATGGGTCTCACTCAGTACCCCATGCGCGTGGTGGTCCACAACCCCGCCGCCCGCTCCTTCCCTCCGCATACATCCATTTCAAAAAACTCGACAAAAACAAACCACTCGGCACTCGGGTCCCGCCTCGAATCCCCCGGCCATTCTCCCCACGCGCGGTTGATCCCACGCGTCAAGTGGCGGACAATCCCGGGTGTTTTCCGTTTTGCCCTTATATTTTTTTAAACAAGAAAAGTTTTCAAATTTCATCATTTTGCTTCACTTCTTCTTCCTCTTCCGTGGCTCTCCTGGTTTTAAGGCGAGAAAGACAGATCTCTCAATCCGAGGAAGTATATCATCCATCGTCGATATCTATCTATCTATCGGAAGCGACTGTTTTCTGCTTCTTCTGAGTCGATTTCACGGTGAACGGGGCGGCGGAGCTTGGGTGGTGCTGAGCTCGAGTTCTTTCTTTCTTTTCTTAACTCTTCTCTGGAAGGAAGGAAGATGAGTGTGGTGGGGAGACAGATGTCGCGATCTCACTCCACGGCGCACCACCACCGCCAGTACTCCGATAACTTCATCGACGCCAGCAAATGGTTGCAGTCATCTTCTCAGGTAACCAACCATACATTCTGCGGATGATTTTTTTTTTTTTTGGTTTCGACTTTGGGCTCAAGAATTACTGTGATGGTGCGTAGGACTTCGGGTACGGGTCAAAGATGAATCGGAGCCTGCAGTCAAACCCGTCGACTCCGCCGGTATGCTCGCGATCGTCGAGCCTCCGGAACGTTGGTGACGGCCACGTGTCACCGGGCCTATTCGATCTCCACTCCTTCGACACCGAGCTTCTCCCGAGGTTTGGCTTATGTTGCTGTTGAGCTGCATTTAGGTTTGATTGGAGTAGTAGCCGCCAATTTTAGGAGCTGAATTGGATCAGGGTTTTGGGAATTGAGAAACGAATAAATTGTGGATTACAGAATGAAACGAGCTTATGTAGTAGCGAATTGTTGGTCTGTAGGTGCAGGATGGGAGCGGTTATGAAGGGTACTCGTTCGATCAACGACGAAGCTCTCGTGGTAGAAGTTTTGATGAATCCGAGCCAAATCTCTTGGCCGGCAAAGTTGGAAGCAGATCCACTAAAAGGCTGCCTGAGAGTAGCCTTCTCAAGAGCTTCTCTGGTTCTGTGGATAAGGAGAGAGCCAACAATGTAGCCAAGATCAAAGTTGTGGTATGTTTGTTGAAGAGCAATTTAGTTACCTGCATTAAGGAATGTGGATTAGTTGTAACAGTGATAAATTGCTCATCATTGAAGGTGCGCAAAAGGCCACTGAACAGGAAAGAGATGGGGAAGAAAGAGGGAGATATAATTACCACCGAACCAAATTCGAATGCTATTACTGTTCATGAGACGAAGATGAAGGTGTTTTATCCGTGATGTTGCTAATATTGAAGTTATTCTGGATTCCGTTAGTGGGTGTGGAGAAGAAACATGAAACCTATGGCTGAACCTGCAGGTGGACTTGACAGAATATATGGAGAAACATGAATTTGTGTTCGACTCCGTGCTGGATGAAGGTGTTTCAAATGATGAAGTAAGTATGCTGTAACGTTTGTCACGCATGCCTACATTGTTTAGATAATTTGGCTGATGTCGTATCATTTTTTTCTGTAGGTTTATGCAGAGACTGTTCAACCAGTAGTGCCTTTGATTTTCCAACGAACAAAAGCAACTTGCTTTGCATATGGGCAAACTGGCAAGTTACTTCGACTGCCTTTTGGTTATGTTACTACTCGTTTCATGGGGACACTTTGTATCATCCATGTCAGTTTATCATGTTTCGTGTTTCACAAGTTTACATGTGCTTATTTAGTAGTTTACTTTCCATTGATTGATTGTGAGCTTACCTAGTATTCATTTAATTTTTTCAGGAAGCGGGAAGACCTACACCATGCAACCACTTCCAATCAAGGCCTCACAAGATATATTGAGGCTAATGATTCACACATACAGGAATCAAGGTTTCCAATTGTTCGTCAGCTTCTTCGAAATATACGGTGGGAAGCTTTTCGATCTCATCAACGATCGGAAGTAAGTTGTATCATGTTTGTTGAGGAAAACTGGAAGAACATTTTAATTTTGCTATAATTTGTCTGAAGCTCAGTAATTTTGCAGAAAGCTTTGCATGAGGGAGGATGGGAAACAACAGGTATGTATCGTGGGGTTGCAAGAATACAAAGTATTTGATGTGGAGACAATCAGGGAGCTCATTGAAAGAGGAAATGCCACAAGAAGCACCGGTACAACTGGTGCAAACGAGGAGTCCTCTAGATCACATGCTATACTTCAGCTTGTTATTAAGAGATCGGCTGATGGATCTGAATCAAAGCCCGCCCGGATGGTAGGAAAGCTGTCTTTCATAGATCTTGCTGGCAGTGAGCGTGGTGCAGATACTACTGATAATGATAAACAGACAAGGATGGAAGGAGCTGAAATTAACAAGAGCTTGCTTGCTCTAAAAGAATGCATAAGAGCTCTCGACAGCGACCAGGGTCACATCCCATTTAGAGGGAGTAAACTAACCGAAGTACTTCGAGATTCATTTGTTGGCAATTCACGTACTGTGATGATATCTTGCATCTCGCCTGGCTCGGGCTCTTGTGAGCATACTCTCAACACTCTAAGATATGCTGACAGGTATGAGGAACATTTCAAAACGAAGTAGAAAGTTAAAAGACGAGCTGTTTATATTTCACTTGGAACTTGTATTAACACTTCCATTGTTTTCATAGGGTGAAGAGTCTATCAAAAGGGACAGGCTCCAAGAGGGATCTTCTGTCCTCGTCAACCCTAAACCTCAGAGATTCAACTGCTTTACTGCAGACAACTTCTGATGATAGCATAACCGATTTCCCCAGCGACAAGAACATGTTTGTTTGGTCAATGTCAGTCGACAGGGATTCATCTCCACCTCATTATAACTTGGACGGGGTGCCTAGTGGAAGATCACAGAGCTACCAAGTTTCTGCACCTGATGATAGATGGAGAAATGATGCTCCAACGAAAAGGCCTGAGATCCCAACGCCTCAACCCAACAATTTTTATCCAGACGAGGATTTGAATGATTTGTTGATGGTAATAAACCCGCTAATCAGATTTTTCAATGTGCAACATCTTTTCTGGCTATGCATTAAATGTTGGTTTATTTGGTTTCAGGAAGAGGAAGATCTTATATCTGCACATCGGCAGCAAGTTGAGGAGACAATCGACGTAGTCAAGGAGGTAAGTGACTTATATGGCGTGTATTCTAGTTGTATCATTATGATGCTTTTAAGATTACCTATGAAGTTCCAAAAACACTCCATTACATCAACAATGTCAACCAAAAAACGACGTATTTGTGCAATTCTATGTTGTTGCTAATATTATTCTTCAAAGTATATACTTAAACTGATATAATTATCCCTGCGTGCTCAGGAAATGGACTTGCTAGTTGCAGCTGACGAGCCGGAGCCAGGCAACCAGATCCATGATTACGTTGCCAAGTTGAATACAATTCTCTCGCAGAAGGCTGCAGGGATCCTGCAGCTGCAGACGCGGTTGGCGCAGTTTCAACGCCATTTGAGTGAGTATAATGTTATAGTATCTTCTTCATCTGGTAACTGACTCGAAGATATGATGATGGGTTTCGGAGTGGAGTGACACGTTTGTAATTATTTATTCCTTTGTTTCTACACTTTTATCTCTGTTTTTGTTTGTTTGGTGATGTATCTTGGTGGTGTTTGTGTGAAAAAAGCAGCCATTGATTTATACACCTAAGTTGCTAATTGTGCTTCAGTATCTCTTCCTCGTTGATCGCCTAGTATTTCTAAGAAGCAGCAAACAGGAGATCGACCATCAACAGAGGCACATTATTATGACAATTAGCTAGCCAATTTATGTCTCTTCTAGTACATGTGTTGAATGTTATGAGTATCATGGAGTTAAAATTTGCATAGCATGCCATCAATATGCCATCAAAATTTGCATAGCATGCCATCAACAGAGGCACATTATTATGACAATTAGCTATCCAATTTATGTCTCTTCTAGTACATGTGTTGAATGTTATGAGTATCATGGAGTTAATAACTTGAGTTGTTGGATGAGGTTCACATATGAATGTTAACCACTTCCTTACATGACAAAGGAATCCCCAAGATAAACTTGATGTACGAAAACATTTAGTCAGGCCAATTTCTGGAGCTCTTCTAGTACATGTGTCGGAAGTAGGGATGGCAATGTGTCGGGTTGGGGCGGGTTATGTCAAACTGATAGAAACTTGCATTTTAGTACTTTGATTAATTGTCGGTTATTCGTTATTTCGGATTAATTGGGCTGTTTTGGGGAAACAGTGATAAGTCGGGTAGTAGTTGGTAACTGTCCAGTTATATATAAATTACTTGTAAGTGGGATTAGGCCACTAAGAAAGAATAAACCTAAATCCTAATTGCCTCTCTCTCTCTCTCTCTCTCTCTCTCTCTCTCTTCCCTCTCCCTCTGCCATACTCTCCCTTCCCTCTCTCAAGGCCGCCGCGCGGCCAACTTCTTTCCCCCTCCTTCTTCCTCTCGTCTCACCCCAAATCCCCTTCTTCCTCCACTTCTGTTCATCCCAAGATCAATCCCTAGTTGATCTGCCCCAATCTCAATCCCTAGATAGAACCCAATCATCCGGGTTCTATCATTTGGTATCAGAGCCACGTTCGCGATCAGACAAGACAATCAAGATGGTTCTGACAAAGTCCATGACTTCAGCGGAGAAGGCAACCAAGGCAGCACAGGAGCAGGCCGCAGCTGGGACGGCAACGGGGCTACCGTCCCTCGGCGATGGCGCGCATGAGGTTCCCTGATAGACCGATATTTACACATGTTTTCACCCCTTTTCTGAAGCCGTTTGAGATGTGGATTCTAGTGTTTTAAGCCGATTTCACGCTAGGGTGTGTGTTTATGTCATATTTCAGGTCCCGACGTTGGAATCGAGGCGGAGAAACAAGTTCTGGGTCGAAAGGAGCGAAGTTGTGTCGAAGGGGGCTGCAGGAGGAAAATACCCGGTCAGGTGGCAAAATACCCGACCGGGTATTTATCGTTTTCGGCACCCGTGAGAAACAGAGGGGGGCCCGGGCAAATGCCTTAAATCCCCGGTCGGGGATTATGAGGACAGACCGGGGATTTTTCCCTTTAATGAAACGGCGCGTTTTGGACAATACCCGGTCGAACCCTTAAATACCCGACCGGGTATTTCGACCGGGTATCGCGATGGCAGCTGATAAAAGAGAAAGAAGGCCAATTTTCAGAGGGATCCGAGTCTTTGAGAGAGAAAGCGATACCTAGAGAGAGAAAGCGACGAACCAGAGTTCCCAAGCGCCATAGATCGATCTTCATCACCATTGGAGCCCGGTTTGAGCTTGGAGAAGTGCGATTAAACGTCCAGGAGCAGGAAACCATCTTCACAGTATGATTTCCGCGTCTGAATCTGCTTTTGCTTCTTTCTCTATGGAGTAGTTCCCCCATTCATCTGGGTATGGGGAACCCTAGATTTGTATGCTAGGTCTGATTGTATGAACCCAAGTACAGAGTTTGTGAATTGATTATATTCGATTGAGGTTTGAATGATTGAATGACTTGAATCCTGATCAAATTCCTGTTGTTTCTGCTTTGACCTAGAATGAGAATATCTGCCTAGGTTGATAGAGTACCCTTAATCGAAGGTGGCGAATTGGTGACTTTAGTCGAGGAGCCAATTCGCTATTCTGTACCGAATTCAATTCGGTAGTGGAGGTTTGGTTCGTTAGGGCCTCAATCTGTTTACACCGGTGGAGGTTAGTCGCCCGCTAGAGACTCAGATTGAGAGGGTCTGGAGACCTTTAGTCGAGACTTCAGGCTAATTGAGAACCTTCCGCAGTATAACTTTCATGAAAACTGAACTTGGTAAATTGCAATCCGACTTAACTGCAGTCTAGGGGGATCCATATCCGGGTGATCTCTCTTGACTTGACAACAACCGTTTACTTGCTTTGTGTTTTTATTTGCTTGAGTTGCACTAAAAGTTCACCGCTAAATAACAAGAATTCACCGAGTAGTCATCACATCTAGGACCCGGGTTGACAATAAAACCCAAACCCGCTATACTACGCTTTAGGAAGTGGTTGCACTTGGCCATTTTCTAGAGTGACAGTAGGAGTGAGTCAAGTTTTTGGCGCCGTTGCCGGGGACGACTAGGTTGTTGAAGAAAAGTTATTTCTGTTACTTTAGCATTTTCATTTTCGCATTGAGTTTTTTGTTTTTTCCCACTTGTGCCTTCACGGGTTTGCATTGCTTGATTGTGTGCAGATAGTGCATGACCCGTAGCCAGTCGGGAGGTTTACTGCCGTTGAATCCTGAGATTGAGCGCACCTGCAAACAACTTCGGAAACAACAGCGAGCTAGACTGGCTATGGTGGAGCGCAGGGACGGCCAATTGAGCAGCGACTCCGAGGACGAGTACGAGATGGAAGGCAATCAGAACCCACCTCCTCAGAACCAGATCCTGGGGAACGACCCAAACCCCAGGGAGCTGGCCATCATCATCCACCACCACCGGGTCCCACCTTGGAGTACTACTATACTCCACGGATTGCTGACATCCGCCCGGTCATCCTCTATCCGCCCATTCCTGCAAAAAACTTCGAGATCAAGCCATGCTGGATTCAACTCATCACATCCTCTATCCAGTTCCATGGTTTGAAGGATAAGGAAGCCCGGGTACATCTTTCCCGTTTTCTGCAGCTGACGAACGGGTTCAAGCTGAACGGTGTCCCGGATGACGCAATCCGCCTTCACCTCTTCCCCCATTCTCTGGCGGGGAATGCTAAGAGGTGGTTGGAGACCCAGCCCCCTTTGTCCATCACCTCTTGGGACGATCTGGCTGACAAGTTCGTGCACCGGTATTATCCGGCATCGAAGACCACGGAGATTCAGCGGGAGATCACTCACTTCCGCCAAGAGCCAGATGGGTCACTTTGTGATGCATGGGAGCGGTACATGGGATACTTCTGGCAGTGTCCCCATCATGGCTTCAGCGATGCTTTCACAGTGGGGAACTTCTACAGTGCCCTCACCCCAGACAGCCAGAGGGTGATTGAGTCTCTATGCCCAGGAGGGGATATCCTTACTAAGACTCCACCCGAGCTGAACCAGATGATCAGTACCTTGGCTGCCCGAGATCATTCTTGGGGACAGAACAACAGAGGCAGGAATTCCCGGGACCGGGGTGTGCATGCTATGGAGGCCAGATCCGGGTTAGAGCAGCAGGTGGCTGAGTTGGTGCAGACATTGAAGCAGCCTAACAGCCTCCTTTCGGGCCGAGGTTTAGCTACGCCTCCAGTAGCTCAGTGTCAGTGGTGTGAGAGCCCAAATCACCTGGTGGAGGATTGTCAATCTATGAGTGAGTCCTCTACTCCCGAAGAACAGGTGGACTTCATCGCCAATGCTCGGCGCCTGGACCCGTACAGCAGTACCTACAATGAGGGATGGCGCCAGCATCCCAATTTTGCCTGGAGCAGCAACACCAACAAACCACCTGGTTTCCCAGCACCAGCAGGTGGCTTTCAGCAGAGGCAGCCGGGGACTCGGGGACTCTGCTTTCCAAGCTCGCCAGAACACTACCAGGGCACCGGGGACTCTGCTTGCCACCACTCTCCCCAATCCTCGCGACCCTCAAGAGACCGCCCATGCCATCACCACCAGGAGTGGTAAGACCATATCTGCTGCTCCTGCCCAGCCCAGGCGAGACGAACCACCACCTGCTTCAACACCTCCAGCTGATACTGCAGAAGTGGAGGAAGGCAGCGCATCACCTGCTCCCAAGCCACAACCTGTGGTTAAGGAGCACACACCCCAGCTGCCCTTCCCCACTCGACTTCATAAAGACAAGCTGGAGACAGAGTTTGCCAAGTTCATGGCAATGTTGAAGCAGGTCAACATCAGCATGCCGTTCGTGGAGGCACTGTCGAAGATGCCCAAGTATGCTAAGTTCATGAAAGACCTACTCACCAACAAGAAGAAACTTGGGGATCTTTCGACAGTGATGCTCAGCGAGGAGTGTTCTGCCATCCTGCAGAACAAGCTGCCAGAGAAGCGCAAAGACCCAGGGAGTTTCACTATCCCTCTTGTTATTGGCAGCATGCATGTAGGAAAGTCCTTGGCGGACCTAGGCGCTAGCATTAACGTCATGCCCTATAAATTGTTTAAGAAGCTAGACCTAGGTGAACCTAGAGCTACTAGGATGAGCATTCAGTTAGCTGATCGTTCTATCGTGCATCCTAGGGGTATCATTGAGGACTTGCTTGTTAATGTTGGTGCATTCACATATCCTGTTGATTTTGTTATTTTGGATATAAATGAGGATGTGGATGTGCCTGTGATTTTGGGTAGACCATTTCTCGCCACCGCCAAGGCGCTTATTGATGTGCATAGTGGTAAATTGATTCTGCGTGCTGGTGATGAACATGCTACTTTTTCTGTGTCTGACAATGGGAAACATTCTCATTTGCATGATGACATAGACTACTGTGATGTGCTTACCAATTTTGAGACCGCACTCGCCATCACGAGTGCGGGTACTGATGATGCTCTTGAGCATTGTATTTT